TCCCAGTTTTGCACCACCGAGAGTAAGAGTGGGCCGTTAATGGAGGTATGTGAACATTGGGGGGGTGGGTGGGGGGTGTCGGGGGGAGGATAGTGAGCTGTCTATGCAGCTGGTTTGTGGTTGGAAGGAGTTGGGGCTGTTGGGAAAGTAGGAAACAAGGTGAATTACAGTGTGAATTTGGATGGATCCACCAGTATCGTCTTAAATTTGCTTATGAAACAGGCAAAACTATTGGTGACTTTTGGGACAGATAGCAGATCGGTGACTTTGGAGTCATCAGCTGTTGTGACCCTCCTCTGAAATTCGAGAACTCAACTGACTGAAGCTTGTGTCCTGAATTGTCAATATCTCCTCGGGTTGCCAACCCTCTGGAGTCTGTCAGGATTAAAGGTCAATGTCAAGAGTCCTGCTGAGCACAACCAAAGAGAATAGGCATTAGAAATGTGTCCTTATTATTTATTAAATAAATATTATTTATTTATTATTCATTAACTTTTGTTAATGAGTTTTAAAAGTATTAGATGTGAGGAAGAGAGGCTGTCTGATTGACATTGGAGAATTGGCCAGGCGGACAACAATTTGCTTGCTTTGCTCTTGTTGGGAGGAATGTTGCCATTCATGTCGAGCAACAGACAGCAGGATGACACTGGCTGGAGGAAGGTTCATTCGGGAGTCTGGGCCAGGGCATTGCGTGGGTACAAATGTAAATACCCCCCTTCTCCCAGAATCTGCCTTTGTTTCAAAAAGCAGGCTCAAAAACGTTGATAAATGACATCTGGAATCTTACAGAAGCTGCCACCTTCACCCACAGACTCTGCGAAAACATGCAGCCATCATATGCGTTGAACCCACCCTTCCCTTCTGCTAGCCCCTCACACGTGCCATAAAATACTCCCAAATACTTCCTATCTGATGCTTGAATGATACAGTGGGCAGCAAAAGAGCTGCATGTAGGTGGCTATTTAACAGGCTCAATAGCTTGTCAGTTTGTGACAGTGAGGGATGTGCTTCTGATTTGTACACCTTCCCTTCTGTAATAGCGAAATCTGGCGTAATGACGTTATCTTGCTAATCTGATGTTATCGCGCCACATTTGATAATTATGTGAGATTTTTTGTTGCCTTTTATTCATGGGACGTGGGCCTCGTTGGCAGCATTTGTTGCCTTTCCCTTCTTGCCCAGAGGGGCAGTTGAGAATAAACCACATTACTGTAGGTCTGCAGTTAGATGTAGGCCAGACCAGGTAAAGACGATTTCCTCCCCTCAAGGACATTCGCGAAGAAGATGGACTTTTACGACAATTGACATTAGGTTGGCTTTTAATCCAGATTTGTTTCGTTGCATTTAAATCCCACCATCTGCTGTGGTGGCGTTTGAACTCACGTCCCTGTAACGTCAGCTTGGGGTTGTGGGTGACATTACCACCATGACACTGCTTACCTCATTGAGCCCGCTCACCTGATTGGTGGCCATAAAATCCAATCCCGTGAGAGAACAGGACTTCTACTGCGTTCCAATGGAGTTGGAAATCTCAGCATCTTGTGATGCCAGGATACGTTGTGACAAGCTGCGCTACTCTGCAATTGAAATCCTGATTTAGGATGATTCACAGAACACAACAGCCAAGTAGTGTAAGTCAGATTCCGCTTCTGTAGTGCACCCCTCAACAGAAAAAGGTTGCGTCCAAATTCTTTTGTTTTTTTCAATTTCCCCTCTGACACAGTGGGACCTCTTAATAATGTTGAATGTTCAGAAAAATTCTGTTACTTTGGCAGTTTCGAAGTGGACCAGCCAAAAATATTAGGGGGATGGAAGGGTAGAGAAAGGCAATCTGTTTCATTCTAGTTTGGAAATGATGCAGATGTTATGAGAACGTGCCAGATTATCACATGTATTGAATTAACAAATGTCAGGCTAACAAGTCACTATTGTTTCCAGGGTTAGACTTCACCACTGGCCCTGCCAAATTATTAGTTGGTTTATATTGTACTCAGGATATGGTATAGCTATCAAGGATGAAAAATTATTGTACCCTGTCAAACGAAAAATCTCTCTCATCAGCCAGCACAAGTTATATTTCAACATTGACAACCTCAAACAAAATACACCCAGCCTGCTTTTGATAAAATTAGTTTTGATTCCA